ATTAAATATATAAAAATATTAATAATAAAAGAAGAAAATAAAAATTAGATTTTTAGTTATATAATATTTATTTATTTATTTCTTAATTTTACATAAATTTTATTTAGCTATATATATATATATATATATATATATACAGATCTTTTATTAAAAATTTTATTTTATAAATATAAAACTTTTACTTTAATATTTTTCTTTAAATTTTTATTCTTTTTTATTATTTTTATATTCTTATCTTTAGTTTAATTTCTTATTAATATTTAATTTCTTTAAAATAAATACTCTTCTTAATAATTTTAATTTTATTCAAAATATTCTTGCTTTTTATTAATAATTAAAAAATAATAAATTTTATAAATTTTTATAATTTAATAAAGAATAATTGATATTTTAAAGAAAATAATTAGAAAGTTACTTATAATTTTAATATTAAAAGATAACTTAATTTCAGTATAGTTATAGAAATATTTCAAGAAATAATATCAAATATAAAAAAATTCTCAGATTAACTTAATAAATTACAAGATAATATATAAGTTAAATAAATTATAAATATTATTAATATCTTAAGAATAATAATTATGACTAATATTACTTATCAATTTTAATCTAATCAAAGCTAAAAGATAAGAATTTAGACTAAAAATAGTATTATAACTTGATCATAATTCTTTAATTAATTATTATAATTGATTATAATTCTTTGATTAACTTATAATTAATTGAGATAATATCTTTAATTCAGATTATATTTAATAATCTTTTTAAAAATTAGAATAATTAATCTAATAAATTATAATTTATTAGATATTATTGATTTATATAAATTCAATATTATATTTTTTAAATTAAATAATATAATAACTACTCTATTTCTAGAAATATTATCATAATTAATTAAAATAATATCTTTAATTCTAATTAAAAATAGTATTATAACTTAATTATAATTTTCTAATTAACTATCATAATTGATCATAATTTTTTGATTGATTATTGTAAGTTATAATTAATTGAGATAATATCTCTAGTTCTAACTCTAGCTCTATTATATATTCTAAAATAAGTATAATTCATAATTTAATTAGTATATTAATTATGAATTTAGTCATAATTTAGCAATTATTTTATAATATTTTTGTAATACTTCAGAATTATTATTTTAAATAATTATTAAAAGTGATTTTAAGATAATATTCTTAAAAATTACAAGAATTACAAAAAGAATTAGCTTAATCAAAAAGAATTACTTTAATCAAAAAATATTTCTTATTTAAAAAATAAATTTATTAACTATTATCAAAATGTAAATTTGAAAAGATCTATAATTTCTAACAAATTACTTATAATAATCTTATATATATAAGAAATGATAAAATCAAAAAAATTTTGAGAAGAATTTAATTTATCTTGCTAGAGCTCAATTTTACTTAGAAAAATCAAATATTACTATAATAATATAAATTTTTTTAGTTTCATAATTTCTCAAACTTTAGATTTTTAGCCAATTAATTAATCTTTAAAAAATATATAATTTTAAATAAATTAATTAGTATATTAATTATAAATTTAGTTATAATTTAGTAATATTTTTGTAATATTTTAGTAATATTTCAGAATTATAATTATATAATTAACTCAAAAGCTAATAATAATTTTTAAACAGTTTATTAATAATTCAGAAATATTTTAAAAATAATTCAGAAATAAATTTTATTTATTTTTCTTTATTATCTTTTTTTTTAGAATATTTATTTTATTTATTATTTATTTTTTCATTTTATTTCATTTTTGTATTATCTTTTAACTTATTACATATATCTTATCTCTTTATTTTATTTGTTCATTTATAATTCTTTTATTTTAAAACTTATAATTATATACTAAAATAATAAATGAATTATGAGTAAAATTTAAATAAAATCCAAAAATTGAACTAAAAGAAAGTCTGATTTGATTTTTTGGATTTAAGCTCAAGTTTGATTTTGAATTTCGAATCTGACAAAAAATTTAATTTTAATATGTTAGTATATTAATTACTGCAAAAGTATATATTAAAATGAAAATAAAATATTTTAAATGAAATTTGGGTCTTTTTTGGAAGCTGAAAATTCTGGAAAAGGGCTACGTCTTCTATTTCTAATTTCCAATAATATTTATGCCTATCATGCTTCGTCATAATACCTAAAATACCCTTTTGCTTATGAAAAATCAAAACGAATAAATGACATTCCAGTTCAAAGCACGATTCAAAAGGTTTTATGAATACTTTTGGTATCAAGTTATCAGTAGACAGAAAAATTAGAATATAGCGCAAAGATTTAGTGAATTACTATCGAGGACAAGTTCTGAAAATTAAAATATTAAATTTGTACATTTGGATAATTTGTTTTTTTTGCACCTTTAGCATTAAAGCTTCTCAACTATTTGAAGGAACAATTATTATGCAGTAACCGGATTTTCAAGTTGTGTATAAAGTCTGTCGTGGAAGGTTTGTATACTTATACTATACTAAATCATAAAATTCCCAGTTTGAAATCATGTTCTCGAATGAACGAAAATGTTTTTTTATATTGTTCTCAAAATAAAGAATGTTCTCTTAAATTTTTATAATTGCTAACATGGTTTCTGATCAAGATTGTTCTCAAAATATTGTGCTGTTCTCTGAGAACAGAATTTTTATACACTGCTATAGTATTAGTCTTATAACAAAGTGAGAAAATTACTATATACATATTTTTAGTATTAGTCTTATAACAAAAGTGTGAAAATTACTAAATACATCATCATTAATCATCATTTTCTCCGATAGAATTGGGCGAATCCAAATTTGGATATTCATCATTTTCATTGTAGCGATAATGAATATCTAAGTGTTGGTGTGAGAATCAGAAATCTATTTTTAAATAAAAAAATTCTGGAGAATGAGATAAGACCTACGGAATCGTTATTTCAACATAGGGTTCTGAATCATTAAAAGGTCATTTAAACTAGAGAATTTAAGTATTTCTTCGGAATTAATTATTTTCAAAGTTACTATTGTTCCGTTATACACGTGATAATAATAGGCTTTCAAAACTTGTTTCATTGAGTCGGGGCATTTTCAAGTTTAATTAAATGATCATTCATGATCTGGATCTTTTGTAAAACTTCGTGTTGATTTCAGATTGGTAGGGAAATATTCCCGGGGGTTTTTTTAAAATCTTTACCAAACAAAGAAAGGCCCACTGCCCTAAGAATAGTATGCCATTAAATTTCGAGCGGCCGATTGCCTAAGTAACTCGACGCCAATGAGTACCACACAAACATAATGACGCGAAACTGTAATCAGTAATTTATCTAGAACTTTTTCCGTTCGTGTTTTTCCTTTGTTGTATAATTTTTCTCTCTTTGTTTCTTAAAATACCTGGATGATTTTATTAATTTTAAACGAGAGAAAACATTATAAAATCGCCGAATTTATCATACACAAACTTTGTTATATGAATAGGTATTAAAGCATAATAAAGAATTTCGTTGGATAATAAATAAATCTTGCCTAAAATGGCGCAACAAATTGAAAACAACGCACGGATAATAGTTGCAGAAGAAAATGTAAAGGATCAAATTGAAGCAGCTCTTGAAAACCCCAATGTCAATGTACACAGTTTCTCGCCAGACGACTCACCTCAGAAAAAAGCGGAACAAGCAGCCTCACAAAAACCAAAAGTAGAACTTGGCTCAACACCCAAGGCAACTGCAGTTATCTCTGATATTGACAAAGCAAAGGCTTTGGAGACTCTAAACAGTCTTCCTGGTGGTATTGGAATTAGTTCAAAAACGGCTATACCAAAATGGGCTCGTGTTGGTTGGGAAAGAGTTGCGAAATCAGAGTCTGAGGAGAATCCTGCTACGCCAGAATCTGATTATTTTGATCAGGTGTTGGATGAACTATATTTTGGAAGGCTTTGGTTGAACGCGGGAGTTGTATTTGCATCTGTGTTTGCTACTTGGTTGTTGACCCTCATGGGCTTCGGTTTCGGGGGGGTCATAGTTATTTGTGCTTTTATTGGTGAGTGAAATCCAGATTCACATGAGTGAATGTGTTTCATGTACGACATGAAATTCGAATAATTCGAATCCGACATTCTTATTGATGAATATTTATGCTTAAATTTATTATTAGCTACATACTTTAAACATTCTATGAATCGATTCTACAGAAATGCTCGTAGTGATATTAGTCGTGAATTAGCTAAAGAACGTTTAGAGACTGATGAAGAATCCACAGAATGGTTAAATGAATTTATGCGAAGATTTTGGCTTATTTATGAGCCAGTTTTATCCGCATCTATTGTTCAATCAGTGGATGCTGTATTATTAACCTCGACTCCATCATTCTTGGATTCTATTCGCTTGTCTACTTTCACCTTGGGTACTAAACCACCGCACATTGAATCAATAAAATCATATCCAAAAACCGAAGATGATATTGTGGTAATGTATTTATTAATATTATCAAACAATAGAGTTTTTTTATTCAAGTATAAATTTTAAATTTTTTCAATCGGCAAACAAAAGATGATGGATTGGAAATTGGCATTTGAACCCAATGATCTGGCAAATATGACCAAACTACAACTAAGAAACAAAGTCAACCCGAAAATAGTTCTGAGTATCAGAGTTGGACGAGGAGTGGTTGGCGCAGAAATTCCGATATTACTCGAAGACATTTCGTTCTCGGGAAAATTACGAATCAAATTGAAATTGATGAATAATTTCCCGCATATTCAAACTGTTTGGTTGAGTTTCTTGGAAGAACCGAAAATTGATTTTATTTTGAAACCGATTGGTGGCGAAACATTCGGTTTTGATATTGCTAATGTAAGCATTCGTTTTGTGATTAACTTTTATTATTAATACAGTTTACCCTGTCAACTGTTTCTAAGTCGATTTTTTTATTCCTGATAGTTCCCAGGACTGTCAACATTTATTCATGATCAAGTTCATGGATCATTGAAACCAATGATGTATGCGCCAAATATGTACGAATTAGATGTCGAAACAATGATGAGCGGCGTTCCTCTAGGTACCATACTAGATATATTTTTAAGGCTTTGAGTTAAAACTTGTTGATTAATCATAAATATCACTTGTAAATTTTTAGATGCTGCTATTGGAGTCCTGAAATTAACAATCTTTAATGCAAAAGGACTAAAAAATGTCGAAACTTTCGGTACCTCAGATCCATATGTGAAGATATTACTGAACGGGTCCACAGAACTTGCCCACACAAAAGTTATCAACGATTCGTTGAATCCTTATTGGAACGAGACGCATTTCATCGTATTAACAAATTTGCAAGATACTATAAATTTTGAATTATTTGATAAGAATGTGGGAAGAGACAAATCGTTGGGAAGCGCTAGTTTCGCTTGTAATTTGTTGCAAGATAACCCGAGACAAGAGCAAATGTATGTATTTTTATATAATATTTATTCATTCGGGTTATATTTAATGTCGTTATCTTATCTATTCTCGGACATATTTATGACATAAATCTAGTATTACTGATATTATATTAAATGGTAAAAAACATGGCACTCTTCGATTCGATGCTATTTGGTATCCCATAGCTCCTCAAGGACCGGAAGATCCGATAGTTGAATCAAGTATGTATATGTGATAACGTAGATTCTCCATTTCCTTTTTTTTTTACAATGCAAATGTTTAATTTGAATTTCTTATCATTAGATGTTGGTATATTACGCTATACCATTCACCAAGCCAAGGATATTGATGCAAAACTCTCTGTTTTCGGTCAATATAATCCATACGCAGAGCTAATGTTCAATGGAAAATTGGTGCACACTACTAAAACATTAAAGAGAACAAACAATCCTGTTTGGGAGGTAATCATTGACGTTTAACTGCACTAGCATGATGGATTAATCATATTGACAAAAAGAATTAAAAGCGAATCTTCATTTACTATAGGAATCAAAAGAAATTTTCATCACAGATAAAAATTTAGCTAAATTAACCGTAGCAATCAAAGATTCGCGTGATTTCGCCGAAGATCCTATCGTCGCCGGTTGGACTGGTTCACTAAATGAATTTATGCATGCATTGGAAAAGAATGATTGGTTCAATTCTTATGATAAGACGAGTGCTAAATTAAGATTGAGTTGTGTGTGGAAGCCTGTATTATTGGACTATACTCCTTCGACCACCGGTTATGGTAAGGTCTTTTTTTTAAATTTTGATTATTGTTGATTCATTTTAACTTTTTTAATTTATGTTATTTAGAGGAGCCGATCGGTGTGATTAAAATTAATATTAAAGGCGCCAAGAATTTGAAAAATGTCGAAAAATTCGGTAAATTTCTTTAAATTTTTCTATTATAATGCCTATTTAATTAATAATGTGCTGTCCATGTATAGGCAAATCGGATCCTTATGCACGTATTCGATTGGGTCCTATGATTCGGGGGCGTACCGAAGTAATCGAAGATAACCTAAACCCAGTCTGGAATTATATTCATTACGTACCTATACATAATTTAAAAGAATCCATAGGTTTCGAAGTGATGGATTATCAAAATAGTGGTAAAGATCGAGCACTTGGTCATACGGAAATTCATGTTCATCAACTAGTGAAACGAAAAGATGACGGAACTTATGAGGCCATTGATTCTCTTGATACGTATGTTATTATATATTATTTATTATTTAGTTTTTTACAATTTTTAACACTTATATTAAATTTAAAAATAAAATAAAGTGCCGCACCTTTGACGCTTGGACGCGAACCTAAGGGTGAATTGCTTTATTCGGCCACTTTTTACCCATCTTTGCGTGTTGCAAAAGAATCAGAAATAGTAAACGAAGCGGAAGCACAGAATGCTGCTGCTGCTGCTGCTGATAAAGAAATTCAAAAGACAAATGGTGTAGCAAATGTCTTGGAGCATCGTAAGCTTTCCCAAAACATTAGGAACTAGTATTCATTTGTCTATAATTTAAATTTTATTAATATTAATTTATTTTTAGAATCTGGAATATTGGTTATCAACATCAACAAAGCCACGATAGAAAGGAAAAATATTTATGCCGAGTTATTAATCGATGCTGTTATGATTCCATTTTATAGAACTGCCAAGTCTAAGCAAAATAATCCTAACTTCAATGAAGGTACTATAATTTATTTCTATTACTCTATTACAGCACTTTATTATAAATCAAGCATATTAAATGTCTCATTTAAAAATGATCAGTCGCTGATGTGTTTATCAAAGAACTCGATTGGTCTGTATTAAGATTCAATATTAAACAGGAAGATAGGGATGACCCCATTGGAACACTATCAATCAATGTCAAAGATTTGATAACAAACTCGAAGGACGATGTCAAATTATCGATTGAAGATTTAAAGGATGCTAGTATTTATATTAAGGCACATTATATACCAACCCCGGTTAAATTGGAGTCATCCGAAAGTATAAACGGTTAGTATTATAATCATTTTTGTATAAATCTCAACATTTTTTATTTAATCGAATTCTAATCATTGTTTCCAACAATGTAGATATGGGAGTATTACATGTCACACTTAAAAGTGCGGAAAATTTACTTGGTGTTGATCGTTCAGGTAGTTATTTATCCTAGTACTTTAAATTTGATGTCTATTTTTTGATTTGGTTTAATTGTTTTCCGGATTTATAAAACAGGCACTAGTGATCCATATGTACAATTTACATATAATGGCGAAAAAATTTACAAGTCGAAAACTATCAAAAAGAATTGCAATCCCATTTTTGATGAAAGGTTTGAAGTTCGTGTGGTATGTAATCTATAATCATTCTTAATTCGTCATTTATTATAACTATCGTGAAGAGTAATTAAATGGTAAAAGATTAATTAACGATAATTGAATGAATGTTTATAGGCATCACGAATAGATGCCAAATTTTCATTTGAAGTATTCGATTGGAATGCAATGCACAGTCATGAAAGACTAGGCGGTGGCACAATCGATCTAAGTATCCTTGAACCATTTGAGGGACGCGAGATAAGTTATCCTTTAGATGGAGGAGATAAAGGCAGCATACGAGTGGTTCTATTATTTAAACCAGGATTCATAACGCACAAAAGAAATAGTATGTCTACTTTCAGCAGAGCACTCACTAGTTTTGCCATCCCAGGCACTGCTGTTGGTGATAATCTTACTAGAGGTGGCATTAGTGTGGTAAATGCTGTTGGTAATGGTGCAGATTTGGTTGGTAGTGGAGCTAAATTTATAGGCACCGGATTTGGACTGGGTGGCAACAATGATAATAAGGATGAGAAAAAACAACCTGTAGAGATAGGCGTATTAAACGTCACACTTAAAAGTGCGGAAAATCTACGAGGTGTTGATCGTTCAGGTAATTATACTAGTACTTTAAATTTGATTTTTATTCTTTGCTTTTGTTTTAACTGCTTTCCGGATTTATAAAACAGGCACTAGTGATCCATATGTACAGTTTACACATAATGGCGAAAAACTTTACAAGTCGAAAACTATCAAAAAGAATTGCAATCCCACTTTTGATGAAAAGTTCGAAGTTCGTGTGGTATGTAAATCTATAATCATTTTTAATTCGTCATTCATTATAACTATTGTGAAGAAAGTAATTAGATGGTAAAAGATTGATTAACGATGTTTGAATGAATATTTATAGGTATCACTAGATACCAAGATTCAATTTGAAGTATTCGATTGGAATGCAATGTCCAGTGATGAAAGGCTAGGCGGTGGTACAATCGATCTAAGTTTCCTTAAACCATTTGAGGGACGCGAGATAAGTTATCCGTTAGATGGAGAAAATAATGGCAGCATACGAGTTTTTCTATTATATAAACCGGGAGCTACAACGCCCAAAAGAACTAATAGCTTGTCTACCTTCATAACTGGCCTTGCTTCTGCTTCGGCTCCAGTTAATGACAACCCTGCTAAAGGTGGCGTGAATGTGGTGAATCTTGTTGGTAATGGCGCAGATTTGGTTGGTAGTGGAGCTAAATTTATAGGATCCGGATTTGGACTATTGGGTAATGAGGGTGACAACAATGAGAATAAGAATGAGGGAAAACAACCTGAATTGACGACGAATAACAACGTAATGGCAACGACAACGACAACGACAACGATAGCCACAACAGTAACTGATACAGAAACGCCAGAAAAATTATCGACAGTAACAGTAACGACCGCTGTCCCTATTCAAACACCATATGTAATTGAGGAACCACCACTGGCAAGATCAACCAATTTCGATACAAATGAGACGAAACAGGAAAAAGAAAATGGTACTTATTATTTCATCTTTAAAATGAATTTATTTTATAATAGTATTTAATAATATATATATATATATTTTCACACATAAAAACGTGATTATAGATCATAATAATAAGGATAAATCGAGTCTGGATCATACTTCTGGTAGGTTTATACTCAACCAGATTTTTTAGATTTCTTTATTCGGGCATTCTAACGGGAGTTCATGAAGAATAATATATAAATATGTTACATTGTTTTTTAAAAGCCGAGTATTATTATTATTTATATTTATTATTATAGTATATTATAGTAAAGTCTTACATTCCCATACACAAGAGATTATCAATATATACGCCTCGTTGCCTGATTTAGAAATGTTTTGTGGTGCGCATACATATAGATGGCGTTACATAATAAAATATATATTATGTAACGCTATGTATTGTGTGGTACACGCATTTTTGGTTTTCGTATTATGGAAAACTTAAATCCAAGTACTAACCTATTTTACTCAAACAGATACAAATGGTGAACCTGGTACTTTGACTGTAACCATTGTCGAAGCCAAAGGATTAAAAGGTACGGATAAAAGTAGCAAGTATCGATATATTTATACTATTTTTGGACTAACAGCCTGAATTTTTCCTTGCTGAATTAATGTCGATCGATTCAATAGGTAGCACGCCACTTGTTAAAGTATTTTGGGGTAAAAAGGAAGTGTACAAAACTAGTTCGGTAAAAAAAAATCATCCGCCGAAATGGTAAATTCATTCCTTTTAGAATCATGTTTTATTTTAATTCATTTTTAATATGCCTAATGATCTTTAATAAATGTAATGGTTAATGCAGGGGTGAATCATTCACAATATCAACAAGTGCCAATGGAGAATCCCATCTGAAATTCTCAGTTAAAGATCACAGCAGTATATTGAACAATACCGATCTAGGCGAAGTGGATTTACGAGTATGGGATCACGTTAACAATTCATCCGGCAATAAGGCTGATTTTTGGAAAGACGTGAGTGGCGGTGAAGGAAAATTACATATACAATTAGAATTCACGCCCGGAAGTGATCGTAATTCTAGTGATGGAAGTAGTGGAACGGAAGGTAAAGGAACTACGCGTGGATTGAAAGGACTCAAATTGAAGACTCCATTTAGGAATAAAGAGAAAGCGTGAGAATTAGCGAAGGGAGAAAAGAAACGAAGAAGGTTGGTTTTATCTGTATTTATGGTTTTTTCTATTCACGTTAACTGTCAATCGATTATTAATTTATCTCGGACTTGATTGGTATTTGTTAGTTGGTTAATGCTCTGAATCTGATACGAATTGCAGGCAATTTCGATTATTTATCTCTTTTGATTTTTTCTCCCTTCACCACCTTATAAATTATAATTTCATCCTTTTATTTGTACTATTTTAAGTATATTTCAATTTTTCTAATAATGCAAAAGTACTTAGAAATTTACTTCTCACGCGTATGTACATATATGTATGTATTGTATGTATGCTTTGATAATGATTATATCTATAATAATGGTCGTTTCCAAAAAAAAAACCACTCAAAATTGTATTTAGTATTTTCCTTTTTACTCCTTTTATTTCACTTTGTAAAAATGAACATTCTGATTAGTTTATTTAGATTTACTATATTATCTTTTATTTTTTATTTAATTAACCCTTCTATTCTTGTATAATTTTTTTATGATATATTAATTAATAAAAACCTTGTGACCAACGGACCCTGAGCATGACCGACAAGGCACATGCATATTTGGTTCATATTTTTGCAAAATTTTTTTGTTTTCTTGGAAACTGCGTTTAACAGTTCAATAACGGCAAAAAAAATCCTATCAAATTAGAAAAAGAATGTCGATACTATCAAATTTAATCCCAGCAGGCGCACTTCCAAAATGGATGCTTCTGGTAGCTATTACCGCGGTTGCGAATACTATACAAAATTTAATGACGTTAGAGTTGACGAAACGTGTGTACAATGCTCAACCGGAGGAAGGTATAATTAAACTTTTAAGTGAACAAATTATTATTGAGAAATCGGGAAAAGGAGGAAGATGTGAATTAATGCTTATTTGAATCAATTGATGTAAAGTAACATCTTTATCATCACGAACTTTTGCGATCTGGACATTTACAAGCGGTGTGGTTCGGTTCTATGCTGCGTATAATTTAAACAACAAAGTGTGAGTATCGTTGTTTCGCGATTGGATTTTTATCCATGATACGATTCAATATGGAACGCGTTGCTCAGTTCATTCTAATTCGGAAAAATTCATGATTGTAAATAAACCTACCAGAATCTACCAAATAGCGATTTGGACATACATAATTGCATTAGCGCACTTTCTTTCGGAGTACTTTGTGTTTGGCACATCGAATATTGGACCGGGGTGGGTGGCTCCTGTCTGTGTTGCTAGTGAGTCTCTTGTTCATTTATTGATTAGAAATTTATGCAAGATCATTATTAATTTAATACTATCATTTTATTAAAGGTGTTTCGCTTATTTGGATGACTGCTCAATATGACTATTATACAAATACTAGTAATAATGTTACGATGAAAAAAGAATGATTTGTATTTTCTTTTAGAATATTTTGGAATGTTTGATTGTAACAAAATCGAAGTATGCGCAGTCTAAAGCCAATCCAATAATTAATTTTAAAAAATTTCATAAATACATAGTTTAATAGTTTAATAGGTATATTACAATTTTTAAAAATGAAATTTTAGCATTACCAATCATATTTAATTTTATAAGTAATGATCTGCAAAATTATACTTCTCGGCACAGCAAATTCTATTTTAACATAACTGTGTACCCGAAAAAACCACATAACTTTTTAATCATAAAGAAGAATTATAATCACGCCAAAATAATTAATTAAAAAGTTTGTTGATAAATTAAAAAAATTCATACATCTCATTTGCATAAATACATAATAATAAAAAAATAAAATACAATAGGATCCACTTCGCTTTCATTTTATTTTTTTAATGACGTGTAATAAGGACCAACCATGCAATCACAAAGTAAAACAGAAACAGCGGGTACACCGCAAGAGCACGTCTATTTGCCAGATGTGATGAAGAGAAGAAATTGACAGGTGCTAAAGAATTTTATGATTAAGAATAATTTTAGTGGTAATACATCACTAAAAAATATTAACGACACATCAAACAGGAAGTAAAACGAATTACCATATGACGACCATACAAACGCCAGAATCACTAACGGCAATCGTATGAGAAGACGATGCACGAACAAGAATATCAACGCGACAATCACTAATGGAAAGATACAGTATCCAAGTACACAGACGCTTTGAAAGAATGATCTGTTATTTCATAGAATATAAAATAGATTATTAATACCTAAATCTAATGACATTCTTCGTATGATTAACGCACAAATAATACTTACACGCTTCCACCCAGCAATTTTGCGTTCACCGTCACAATTGCTGCTCCGCACCATACAATCACAAATACACCGGTGAATACATATACTTCTTGGTTAGCCTCCGCATTCATACACAGAATACTATACAATTATCAAGTATGATTAACAAGTGAGGATTTGAAACAAAATGAATTAATGACGTGCCAATAACAAAAAAAAACGATATCTACATTGCCAAGGCTAAACACAAAATAAGTGGACCCCAGAGATCCCCTATCAAACCAAAGGAAAAAAAAAATTATGAATAATTTAAAAAAAGAGGTAACTCAACATAAAACCAAAAAAAGACACTTGCAATCTTTGAGTACATCTCTCCTTGCTTTCGGATGAAGAACTTGTTGCAATTTCAATGCAATATTTCTCAAATCTCGAAGCTATATGTTTCATTCAAAAATCAACATTTATTTGATCAATGATGAATAAAAGATCACATTCCTGCTCCTCCAAAATCGACTTACAATCGTTTCTGATACGGGTTCATCCAAAGTGTTACTATCAAACAATGGTCGCCCAGTTCCAATATGTGTGTTACCACCACTCCCACCACTTCTACTCGTACTCCCGATATTTCCACTCACTACGGGTGTTGTCGAAGTAATGTTTATTGAAGTGCTATTATTACTGATTGAACTCATTTTTTGTGGTTGTAAAGGGTTCTGTAGTGAATCACTATTATTACTATTACTCTGAGCATTCTTATTTGAGGAAGATATAGGTGACGATAAATCAACAAATTCAGGTTCAAGAGGTTGCATTAGATTTGAAGTCAAAGGATCGGCAAAAGGGTCCGAAATACCACCGCCTCCTCCTCTACTTCCTGTCCCGGACGCGGAAGCTGTGGATAAAGTAGTTGTCTCATGTGGGCTATCCAAGTCTCCACCAATTTCGAATGGGTTAATATATGTGTCTGTTTGGTGTGCTAACGGTGTATTGCTGTTATTATTGTGCGAGCTCATGTTCGAATGGTATCTATATTATTTGCTTTATTGTTATTCATGAATATTGTAAATGGGTAAAACTTCACTTTTTCCAGCGTGATACAATATGATATCATTTTTTTAAATAAGCCACCGATTATAAATAGTCACATGTTAGGAAATTATTCATAAATTAGATGATCCTTTTTTTCCGGGACTATATTGTACAACAGCATATTTCCCCGAATACAACCAATTGGTCTCCCCACTTGCTTTCATCTTTTCCTCAACACCGGCAGGCAAACCAACAATCACATCTGCCTTACAAGTTCTCAAAGCCAGAATAGCGGGCACTCCCTCGATTGTTGCCAATGAACCAATAGAAACAACAAAAGGGGTCGTAAACTCCCATCTACAATCATACACCAATTTACGATAATTTAAATCTCCCTTTACCAGAACTAGATCCGCTTTACATAGATCAGCGAATAAATCGGGTGCTTCATAGGGTAAATGCCAATACGCGTACGGCGATGTCCAGAATTGATGTGTTTGCAGGATCCATCGCTTGTTTTCCAGGTACGAGTTCCAGCGTGTGGATAATTCTATGAGATCGGATCGTTGCTGTGCGGAGAATGAAGAAGATGGATTTGATATGGATGAAAGAAGCCAATGAAAATCTGTGGGTGTCGTGTCAGAAACAAACCATGGAATTCTTTTCGCGTGAAAATGGATTTCTGATGCATATCCGGCTTGTATTAACCAATCAGCGAATACCATATCAACGTATAACTCGAATCCTTTTTGGAGAAATTTTAATATGAGATCAACGGTGAGGAAGTAACCAATAAGTGATAACCAAAAAAAAAAGAATTTACCGGCATTATCCAATATAAAATCAATTCTACCATTCCTTAAATTCTTCAGCTTCTCTTCCCAAACCTGATCCAAATCATTTGCCAAAATGTTTTTTTCCGATTCTTTAAGCGCCTCCGTTCCTCGTCCAGCCTTTTGTAACTTCTCGATATCATCCCCACTAAGATTAGTTAGTATTGATAAATCAGTGGCATTTCCCCATAAACACACCTGTGCCAATTCATGAAATACAATTCGACGCTTTTCTTGCGCCTCCTCGGTATTTGATACTGACGAAGAAGAAGAAGAAGATGATGATAATCCATCCGTCAATTCATTTATACGTGTAGCAAGTTCACCTATGGCGGCAAAGGATGATCCGAATGTTTCTTTTTTTTGTCGTGAACATGGATCATAGTTACGCCAATATTTTGTTTTGGCGAATGCGGAATGTAAAAGTCGATAGAGGTAGCATTCGGTGAATAACCAGGCACCAGAGTACCACGTTTTATCATGAAAATAAGTGTTGAATACATTATGCCACATTGGAATATCAGGCTCACCGTCATCTTCTAAAGGGCTAAAATATATATTGCGGAAATCTGCAATTAGGTAATCTCCAAATCTGTTGCGAACAAGACAAATCTAATTTCCACATTCTATATATACTTACATCAACGGCTTATCCCTTTGCAATTGATATTTTATCTTTCCGATTTCTTCAATTATGGATTTAGCTTCTTTTTGTTTCGTCTCAAATTCTAAGTCAGTCTCATTTTCCTCCTTTTTGAGGGAATTATATGTTCGATAAATATCATCGATTATCTTTGTGATAATTACCGGCCAACGATCGCGTGTTGTTGGATACGCGAAACTTGTCTTGTCGGTTGCTGCAAGAGCGAGACGTGGCGGATTTAGAGGTGTTATATCATCCATCATTTATTAACTGCGAAGAAAAAAAAAGGGGGTCAAAAAATATAAATTTTATATTTCTGTGATCGAGTGTGATCGAAAATTTAAGCTATGTCATACCGCATAATGGTATTATTAAAAACACGTGGCGTGGAATTTTTTTATCAAAAATTAAAACCAATTCTGAAATTTCGGCAAATTTTATAATGGTTAAAGTAAGCTATACCACTTTAACGTCAAAGTTGGCGTTCGTAACGTTTAATATTCTTTTACAAGAAGGATAAGAATAATAATCCTTACTTGTTCGGAGGGTCTGCTGTCTGGGCAGACGAAGATTTTACAACGGTTGATGATAGAGTACGTGGGGGGGGGGGGGTAAATCTCAAAGTTATTTACAAGTAACAGATGATAATACAGCTAATTTTATGGAAATCTGTATATCAGGGAATTTTCTGTACAATAAGAAAAAAATCCTCTTAGAGGCTAATAAATCGCAACCATTAGGCAACCATTAGGTAGGCAACCATTAGGATTTGCCTCGCAGCGTACAACATTCACAGTCTAGGAATAACAACACGAAACGGTGACTTCAAAACATACTCGCTAAATCTAAAAACCACAATTCCACTCGTCCGGATGGTCGACTTGAAAGTGGAGTCGAATACAAAGTATCACGGCTCCGTCACGAGAAACCACATTCTATGTCGCATGGAAAGATTTCATGCCCTATCGTCGTGGAAGGCCGGATTTGCAAGCGGAAAAATTGGATGGGAGTAGAATCAAAGCATTCAATCTGATGTGTGCGAGTTTGTTTCAAACAAGGTAATTTTAGTGTGGAGTTTGCGAGTATTGTCACGGTGAAAAATTGAACGGTTGCTGGAGATGACGATTCAAGATAATGTATCATCTTATTGGTCGGGAATTAAAACTGGCTAGGAAGATTACCATAGAACGCCTTTTAAAGTACCCCGAGGTACTTCGCATCTAACGCGTCATTGGGGGATACGTGCATTGTATTCGAAATTTCATTTTTGATCGTCACATGTGCGATATTTAATTGCGTACAAGATATTTAAAGGTAAGTTAATGAAGGAGAATAACTGTAACAACGATAGTGAATTCGAAGGATAGATTTCTTTTTTTTTTGTATTCCGATAATTGTGATACGTTATAAATAAAGGGGGTACTTTACAATTTCAGAAAAGTCATGCTATTTAAAGTTACGGGTACAAAACAAAAATTGCCTTCCAAAGAGGTACTTTAGGTACTTTAAAAGGCGTTTTGCGGTAATTTAATTTCTTTAATTGACAAATTCTTTAAATTCATAATTTCTGGATTTCAAAACTTTATTTTGAATTGAATTATTCCCAAATCAATTGATTTCTGCAAAAGAAATATGCATTTATCTATAAATGGGTAAGTAATAATGATAAATGACAGATCTTGAATGTGATATTTGAGAAAAAAAGGAAAGTTTTTGATAGATCAATAAGTTTTCTGCCAAGAATTCCGACCTTCTAAAAGGAGGTGGAATATTATAAAAACAACCAAAGACAACGACAACAATAACAACAAAACAATCATACACATAACAATAACATAACAATAACATGCAACATGTACGCACGAATTTTTTTTCCTATGACGCTCTATAGAAAATTTAACGAATAAATTTTAGCATGAATTTCAAAAAATCATACGCGTGTGGCTCGCTACAAGCATCTTAACCAGAAATGGAGACAACACCTGCAAGCCTTCGCATACAAAGACGTGGAAAATATTATTATTTTGAAACGAGGCTTTTCGAATTGATAATTAATTTAGTTTACGGGATCATAGTTTTCCATTGAATGAGACTGATGCCTAAAAGGGAAAAGTATTTACCGGTCCGGCCGAACTTTTTTTATACCACTGTCTGTATCGGTATTTTGAAGGAATTTATTATGAGCATCCCGAACTCCGAAATATCAAAAATATTTTGATTTCGAATAATCACATCAATTCACCTTATTCGCGAATAGCTGTGATTTCGTGTTACTTTTAATTCAAGTTTTTTGGTTTCCAGCTTTTAACTTGATTTTTGAAATGAAGAAGTCGTGCATGAAAACACGTTACGTTGGAGACATTATTTGATTGAAGAATTTAAATGAATGACCGCCTTGTGCACACATTACGTTATCATGTTACATAAACCTAATTCGCTTTCAAAAATTATTAGACATATCTAATATCTATTAATCAAATCTATCATGATTTTATTATCGATTGCCAAAAAGAACTCTTTACGCCGAAGAAATATTATGACAAATTAATTGTTTTTTTTTGGAGATTGGACGTGTAAAGAGAGAGATTCTTGTTCGTTCGCGCGCGAAATGACGGACATATAATTTGACCGCGTTGAACACTTAAAAGATCAGTCAACGGGACCATGCCAACCGAATCTACCGACAGAATTTCTGCAACCAAAACAAAAGAATCATCGTCCCCTCATCCCACAATTTTTATTTGACTCTGTTCAAGATGCCACCAATTTATTTCTACTGTTTCTCCCCTTTTTAAATATTCTGTACAACTGGTTGACAGATATATTAGCAATAAATAAATAACGCATGCATTGTCTAACCTTTCGTTTTTTTTTTTTTAACACATGATCCTCACCATATCGTATCAAGAGTCTTGACCAATAACGCACGCGAATTAAAGCTGCAGGTGTGTGGAGCGTATTGAAAGAAAACAAGGAGATAAAGTACAGAGACAGAAAAGCGAGTGACACACATAAAGGGTTTTTTTTTATTCTCTATTGTAATAATATCAAATGTATGATAATGGGTTTCTATGATAATTTAATCAGGAATAATCGACCTTTTCTCTATTTGGAGTTTACTATTATGATTTTATGATTTATGAATTATTATCGTAACCCAATTAACGTTTGTTTATTTACTATTTTAATATCAGTAACATTTATGTGGAAAAGGGAAACATTATCATTCTAACGAAATAAAAGATGCCTATCGAATCACCAATACTTCATTGTATGCCTCTCTCTTTGAATTTTTCTCTTTTAACGTTAAATCCATGCTTTACTTTGGTCTAAATTCGTAATACGAAATTTTTTGTATAATTCTTGGGAGGTCCAGTCTAGTCCTTACACGGATCAAAAGCCACCAACAACTAATTATTGTGTAATACAATATGCCCAGCCTTGCTTTTCGCAAAGATGTCACATTGATTATTAAAAAGAAACCATCCAATCATGTGCAATTAATTTTTTTTTGAATTATCAACTGGATACTTTCCTCCAGTGGAAATGTCACAAAGAGAACGAAACGGTATCGGAAATGGGCTAAATTTAGTCCAACATACCCATATCGATATTTGGGGTATATACTGAGCGTTCATATGAGCTAATATAAATAGGATAATAAATAATACGTCAAATTTAAGTCCCGTGTTCTGATTCGTCAACAAATAATTTTGTAGAACTTTCATCTACTTTATTTATCTTATTTTAGTTATTCTTGTGGTGATTTTGGTTGATGATGTCTATCATCAAATCTTTTATAATACCGAAATTGCAAATCATCCATCATCTCTTCCACACAACACTTCCTCTCTGTTTAGTTCTCTTGGTAGTGTTCTGTTGTTGTAGTTTTTAACGTTTGCGTTTGCTCCCCTCTATTTATGACGGCGAAATTTTTTTCAACCTGATTCTTCTGTTGCTGGTCCTTTTTTTTCCAAAACATCATCACTTATATTTGACGGCAGCAAAATCCGTCTTGTTCTAAACGGTCGGTCGCATGCTGTTAAAAAATTCTTGGTATTGCTCTTTTTTAGATTTGATAGACACCGGGTTTTAATAAAGTCCCTTTTTCCTCTTCCTCTATCATAGTTCTCTACTACTGCTTTTTTTCTTTTACTTTGTCCTGGCCTATTTATCGAAACAACAAAAAATTAGGTTGTTTCAACACATACATCAATACGTATCTCCATATAATATTACGTATATATAGATATTGTTATATGTATATACATATACATATACATATATATATATATACATATATAAATATACTCGCATCATAAAAAATATTGCGTTTCCTTATTTTATATCGTAAAACTTACTAAAAAAAATATCCTTGACGATTACTCCTTAAGCTATCTATTTATTCTTACACATTTTACCCTTAAACACCCATCACAAATTAACCAAAGGAAAGCTCGAAGCGTGAAAAAAAATTCTTTCCGGCAAAAAAAAAAATTCGTCATGTATCACCTTTTCGAGTTTGTAGCTCCTGCGACCGCGCTCGCGGCCATACTATTGCTTCCGTTTGGTCCAATCCTGTTTCCCCGAACTTACATTCTATTCCTGTTCGTCTATTTCACAACCTACCTTTACATATCGATAAATCACTTCTTCAAGTTCTGCATCACGGTAGGGAACATGAAGAGAAATATTCGACACTGGAACGCTACTCAAGCCTTACGTGATGCCCAAGAAAATTCTGGCACAAATAATAGTAGTACGAGTAGTAGTAACAGCACTAATTCCAATAACAATAATAATGACACGCAAAGAAAGTCGAGTAACAGTGGTCGGACAACACCGACCGGTGGTACCACACGAAGTGGTTATACACCCACCTCGAACATGAACGAGGCACTGGACGAGAAACAGTATGGCGAGATGGAAAGCGCATTGAGACTATATGAGGATGATCACTATATTCACGCCTTCTTCATTCCGAATTATGAAGAGCCTGAACCTCTATTGAGGGATACGATCAAAAGACTAGCACAACACAGGTACTTGTTTTTTCTGTTTTTTTTTCATTCCACGTTCATCGCTAGCATTCATAATTCGTGAAAATATTTGTCGATAGGAATTCATCTACCACCTATGTAATTGTGCTTGCGATGGAAGCATCTGAAGCAAATCATGCTGAAAAGGCGACAAATTTAAAGAATACATTTGAAGGAAGCTTTCGAGAATTCATAATCACGGTACATCCGAAAGATGTACCTGGCGAAAGCAGAGGCAAGGGAAGTAATGTGGCTTATGCTGCACGAATTGCTTGCGCCGAGCTGGTACGAAAGGGATTTGATAAACGAAATGTCGTGTTCACAATAACGGACTCTGATTCAGCCATACCTGAACTTTACATCCGTCATGTGGAAAGAGCACTCACCGAATCTGATGATCCATATGCGACTATTTGTTCGCCACCCATCTTCTTTTCGAGAAATGCATTGGATGTCCCTGCTGCTGTGCGGGTGACCGATATAATGTGGTCTATCATGGTTATGCAAAATCTAAGTAATGGACGTGGATTATCTTTTCCATGCTCCACATATAGTTTAAGCATGGTAATTTACTTAATCATTTTTTATTAATTAATTAATGAATGAACGAATTAATTAATTAAATACATTGATTAATTGATTAAGTAATCTAATTCATTTACTAACTCTGGAATCCATTAACATCATTAAAAGGTTCTTGCAGAGAAAGTTGGATTTTGGGATACTGATCAGGATGCAGTTGGAGAAGATTTACACATGTGGCTGAAATGTTTCTTTAAAACTGGTGGAGCAGCAAGGACAGCACCAATCTTTGTTCCAATTAATCTCACGAATGTACAAACAACTGGCTACGTATCAAATCTACATGCACGTTATGTACAGGCAAAACGACATTATAATGGGGTTGCCGATGTGGCGTACTCATTGAAATCAGCATTTAGATATGGAGAAAATCAACAATCATATGACACACAACCGTTATTATTATCACCTACATCACCCACATTTAATCACGACATAACCACAAATAACAATAATAACTTTGAGAATATGAACAGTAATCATAATAACATGAATAGTAGTAACAGTAGTTATCGACCCTCTTCATGTCTCATGTCATGCTCAATATTTGACAAACTTGTGGTTGTCTTTCATGTACTAGAGGCACATATGATCCCGGCGACATCGGGCTGGCTCATGTTTGCTGCGGTACCAGTAACTCAATTCCTATTGATATCAACCTATTCACCACTCTCCTTTTATTATCCGACATTTCAGAATCCAATCGACACCTCAGAATTCTACGCATTCATGTTCTCATTAGTGCAAGTGATTGGATTATTATTACCGGTGCCGTTATTACTGATGACGGTCCTCTATGAAGGGTTGCATCGTACAGTGGATGCTGAACTATTTAAAAAGGATCCCAAGGAAGGTAGAACATGGAAAAACATTACTGACTATGCCTGGCTCCCCGTGAGCGCATGGTTATTCATGACTTTACCTAGTACTTTGGCTTGTATGAAACGACTGAAAAGAGGTGAAGAGAAATATGTGGTGGCTGAAAAACTTTTCTCTGAAAATTTAACACACTAGGAAAATGCTTGGTTGTATTTTATTCTTATGATGATGACGCAGACACCAGGCACTGACGTTTTATTTCCTTTTTTTTTCTCTCTCCCAATTTGATGATGATCAACATGTGAGCGAGCTCTTATTTGTCTTCCTTCTTTGTGAATTTTATTAGTTTTTTTTTTTTTTTTTCCTTTTTTTGTGTATACATAGTTTTTTTTCTCCTGTGATATCACTACCACTATTACATTTTTTTATTGTTCCCATCCAACTTGAACTATCTAGCACAATTACCATTACCACCACCGCTACAACAAAAAAATTGCTTAGAGATTGGTATCGTTGCAAATCCTAACGACACAATAATAATAATAATAATATAATAATAATAATAATAATAATAAGAAGAAGAAGAAGATAATGACAATAATAATGATTATAATAATAATTATTATAATTACAATAATGTTAATAATAAAAAAACATCACGCATTAGGCGGGACTTTGGGCACTCCAATAGTAAATTTAATTTTTTTAAAATCGCACAAGTTCTCTCATTTCATTTCATCTGTACCTTCTATTTATTTTGTCGTCATTTTTTTCTGAGGGATAAGGGAATAGATTCTCTTTGTAATTTGGTAATTAGTTTTAATGTCTGTCAACTGTATATATATAATTCAGGTCCCTTTTATATTTATTAAGAATATCATTATTCTTTGTTTTTTCCTTAGTGTTGTCAATAGAAAAACCAAAATAATAATAATGAATTATTCATATGAAAACAAAGAACAAAATTTTGAATGTGGACCGGATTAGGATTTTTTTATTATCAATGTTTCAAATTTATGGTCCAGTTAACATGGCACGCCCCCCGTTACTATGAATATGATTAAACATTAAACCGTTTCGGATCCTCCTTTTTATGGCCGTTAGTACGTCACATGTACAAGTAACTCTGTTTTGCCAAAAAATTTGGTTGTTGATCCATCATGACGATGTTGTGATCTAGGATGTCACATGATTTCAACTCGGGAATGTCGTTCGAAAAAATTCGTCGAAAAATCTGCATCGACAAATTCGTTCGACTGTAAAAGAACAAAAACATTAGAATTTCCCAGATTTCAAAAGAACGATCTTGAAAACTACAAGTTTTGATTATAACTTATAAGGGTTTTTCCTTTGATCTTGCCTTTCAGTCATGGTTAAAAAGAAGAGTGGAAGAACGCTGAACCCGGCCGATGCACATCGTGAGTGTCTTCTTTGATTGGAATTTGGACAAAGTTTGTTGTTACTCATCTAATACCTTAGCTTTTCACGTATGTGACTCTTGAATAGGCAAGGCGATGCGGCAAAAGGAGATTAAAAAGGTATGGTTTTCAAATGTGCCTTGTTCTTCGGGAGGTATCTCATCCAACGTGATTTTCTCCTGTGTGCTTGTATCTCGCAATTCAATTTTTATTAAATGGGTTGCCCGATTTTTGGTAATAGAACAAGGCTGAGAGGAAGCGTGTGCGTACAATGGTAATGGTACGTAAGGATACCACGAAATTGGAGGAAGAAGTTGCTCGATACATAGCTTTAGGTGAGTGAGAAAGAATCGTTTCTGAATAATTTTCTTTTATTGTGTGATTAAAATGAAATCAAGTCCCCACGAATTTCTTGAATCAAAATAGATAAAGAGAAAAAATTAGACAAAAATGGAAAAGCAAAACTAAAAGACCTGCAAGACAAGTTGTCGAAGATTGTGGAGACCAAGAAGGTAGGACACATGACTGTTGCTTTTTTTATGGTTTTGAAATAATTCTATCTGATGTAATGCTGAACTAAAAAAATCCACTTTCTTCTGATCATTTTGTTTTCTTAGGCTCATGGAATCAATTTGAAAAAGTAAATAATCTTTACCAAGAATGCTTATTTTTTTTTCATAAAATATTAATCAACATAACCTTTATGCCTTACTTTAAAGGGAAATTAGACCAAAAACCGATCACGCACCCATATACTTTCATCCTACATTAAATCCATCAGGATTACCTCCACCGGGAGTTTCCATCGGTTAGTAAACTTAATTTTTTATGATATTGTGATTAATGACGTAAATTTTTCTCAAAACAATCTCACCCGGGAAAACATTGAATATAATGAAGATGAAGAAGAAGATGACGACAATGAAACTCAATCTTTTGAGGATGATGAGGATGGTGGTGACGATGATCAGTCCGAAGAGAAGTCAGGATCTGAAGATGGCGGAGGTACGATTGAATTCTTTGTTTTCAAATAATTAAAACACATATAAGTTCTCATAATTTAATTGCGATTAACTTTATGTAGAAAATAAAGATGAATCAGAAGAAGAGGAAATTCCTCTTCCGCCCGGTCAACCGCCAGCAAACAAAGACTCATCAGATAATGACTTACCAGACCTACCACCCGGTCCACCGCCCACACAAAAGAAAAATGGTGCAGATGATCAAGATGAGGATGATGATGAAGAGGAGGAGGAGGAGGATGATAGTGATAATGAAGACGATGATTTGCCAAAACTACCGCCTGGTCCACCTCCAAGTACAGTAGTCCCATCAATAAGGACTCCACAAAATCTACCACCAACAGGAGGACAAGCAATGATGCCTCCTCCGTTCGGTTACACTGGTGCACCTGGCACAATACCATCAAATTCCCCATTTGGTGGACCACCTCCAAGTCCTTTTGCTACTTATAATGGACTTCATGGACCTCATCCAATTAGACCACAGATGAGAGCACCGCCTCCACCTCCATTTGCTGGAGGAATTGGCAAGTTTTTTCATATATATATATATATATATATACTCTATAACTGATACTTGCTTATTTCTAATTTAATTAATTTTTTCATTGATATAATCAGCTCCAATGCACCAAATCCCAGGACAAAATTATCCACATATTAATGGATCCCCTCCAATAATTAGACCACATTCATTAAATCCACAATTTTCTGCGCCACCAGGAGTTCCGGGTAATCTAATGCCTATGACACGACCATACCCTCAACACATACCACCATTATCTCCATCTTCACAAGCGACAACAGCACAAGGCACGAATTTATCCCAAATGAAGATGGGTGTATCACCCAATAAGACTATTGTCACAGCCACTCCAGTTATTCAAGCTGAGCCTCAAGTACGTAATCTCCAAAAAGAACTCACAACACTTGTCCCTGCTGCTTTACTTCGTAAGAAAGCTTCAGCATCAAAACCAAAAGTGTCTAGACCTATAGTGAATGCTGCACCTAATATAGACGATGAAAGCGAAAGCTTAGTTCCTCCTGTTAAAAGATCAGCTTCATCTGTGTTACCAGTGATAACGCAATCATCGTCAATATCAGCCACAGCTCAAGAAGAATCAAATGATCAACAAAAGTCATCATCGACTGCTCCTCCAACAAAAAAAGCAAAGACTAAAAAGAAGTATGATGAATATGAGAAATTTATGTCTGAAATGCAGGATTTATTATAGATTAGATTATCATTCTTTGCAGAACACTATACTTTCATCTATACGATCATATTAAATTATTAGAGACGAAAAGATAATGCATATTAATAATTAAAAAAATATTTATTATAATTTAAAAAATAAATGTAAATAAAAAAAAGGCGAATAAAAGTACATATATTCGAGTATGGATAAATCTTCATTGCGATTCTTAATACACCCTTCGTTTTTCTGCAATCTCAGAGGCAATTAGTCATAAATATTCATGGTGCGTCTATTGGTCCTGCTATTTCCCAACCGAATAACGTCATTATTTTAACCTTCCGAATTTGGAACAAAGATATTATCGAATTTCCGGCAAAGGTATTCCGTCTCTCCGACTGCGAGAAATATAATTGGCATTTTCTTTAATGGATCGATATACAGTCAGACCTCTATATAATCACGCATTCGGATATGAAAAACTGGTTGTGACATGTGATTGTCAAATTTCTTATATTTTATAATAATGGAAGGTGATTATAAAGAGGTCCGACTGTATCTGGAATCATTAACATATCCATCTCAAAATATCTAACGATGAATTTCCTTTTCTGGATAAATCATTGTCATTAATTAATAATCTGATACTATCCTAAAAAATTGTTTTACCTAAACGAAAAAATAATACATAATTATAAAACATTCTTGAATACGTCTATGACTTTCCGATTTCTATCCAATAAAATTCTCAGTGATCTTTCTTTGTGCATTCGATGTTCCTCTCTTTGCAATTTTCCCATGTCTTCGTCTCTATCCCAATCATTACTACAAAACAAACATTTATCACGCAAAGCAGGCACATAAAGCTCATATGCGGGCATATATCGATCCACAAAATCCCTGACCTCAGCATCTGACATTCCCGATAATCCTCGTTTACGCATCGTATGTTCTTGTTGCAATCTCCATTCGTATGCGTAATTAATGTCTTTGGCATCAAGATGTATAAAAGCATCAATATAAGGATACCATTCGCGTTCATATTCCTTTAGGAAGTTATTAACAGTTAAGAGATGCTCCAATTTATGTGATGGCAAATGAGATTTCGATGAATACTTCAAAGATGACTCATAAATATGCTTTAGGCACGTTTCTGATAAATGTTTAAATCCCAAAGACCATCCCTCGAATAATACAATATCGATTGGAGATGAAATCAGAGTCCATTTTGAGGTCGGCGCACGATCACCACGACCGTTGTGCAAAGATTTATCATAGTGTGGTATCTGGATGGGTAATTGGTTACAGATTGATTGAAGTATATGGGAGCCTAATTTAATGTCATGTGTGCCAGGAAGGCCACGAAATTCGAGTAATTTATTCCCAGGATTAGCACGTGAGATCTTTTCCTGATCATTGTGTGTAAGTAAAAAGTCATCGATTGATAATGCTATTACATTGGCCGCCAATTTTTGCGATAGTTCTGTGACCACTTGTTCGCAGGTTGTTGTTTTTCCTTTACATATACCATAAATATTGAAATTATTAATACTTAAGTGATTAAATTTTATCTCCTTTGAAATTTATTTTTATCTTATCAATTACCGCTTCCTTGAGGTCCATTTATACCTATAATTAATGGTGTTTGATAATTCCCGTCCTTGTATTGGTTTATCACGAATTGAGATATAATTTCGCTTGTTGTTGAGACCATAACTATCAAAAATACAGATACATTATTGAGAATTACACAAGTGCTCCATAAACTTATGTTCCTTTACCAATGTAAACATCCTAATTACGTAATACACAATATAGCTTTAATGGGTTAACGGTTCTACTGGATATAAGATTAATCAGCGGTCAAGATATATTTAGATTGGAAAAAGAACCAAAATTTAGACGAGTATTTTCCAGTAAGAAATGGCAAACAGAGTAACGTGGGACCTACGACGAATTTATCCACTTCTAAACCTGTTAAATAACCCACACACGCGTCTGTCAGCGATTCACATAACAGGGACAAATGGTAAAGGATCAACATCATCATATATTGACAACATCCTATTAAAAGCCGGTTACAAAACTGGAAGGTATAATTCACCACATTTTCTCGAACCACGAGATTCGATCCGAATCAACGGTCAAATAACCGATCGAAAAGATTATCGCGAATTATCAGATTTAGTTTACGCGAAAAGTCGCGCTGCTGATATTGGTGCAACTCAATTTGAAGTGTTGACTGCGTCGGCATTATATTGGTTTGATTTAAAAAAAGTTGACGTGGCGATTGTTGAAGTTGGATTGGGTGGTACACATGATGCCACGAATGTTTTTGAGAAGCCTCTTGTTAGTGTGATTACTTCGATCGGATTGGATCATGAAGAGTTTTTGGGAAATAGTATCGAAAAAATCGCATATGAGAAAGCGGGGATTATAAAGAATGGCGTCTTAGCTGTGATTGGTCCTCAAAAGGAATTGGCTGCTGTAAATGTGATTAAAAAATATCTAAGTGAGAAAGTTAAGGTGGATCATGTCGAATGGGTTGAACCAGCAGTTTGGGATCTTTCCTCGAAAGAATCTGGATGGGCAAATTTACCACTGAAAGTTAATTATGATGAACCTTCGTCGACATCAACTATTCGTTTTAAAATTCCACTTTATGGTGATTATCAGTTGGAGAATGTGGCAACTGCGGTCACTGCCATTGATTTGATGCGTAAAAAATTTCCTCAATTTTCAAAGATCACCAACTCGCACATATCTGAGGGTATTGTAACAACTAAATGGCCGGGACGTCTTCAATATCTAGACATTTCTCCTTTAATAAGTGGACGAAATCAAAAAGAAACTATCAATGTAATTGCAGATGGTGCACACAATGTTCCCGCCGCAATAGAATTACGAAAATTCATTGATCAAGAATACGCAAATCATAACGACGATAAAAATAATAATAATATAATCTTGATCTTTGCGGCAAAAGAAGGCAAAGATTTGTCCTCGATTCTCCGTGTTTTATTAAGAAAAGGGGACTCCTTTCTACCGATCTCATTCTCACAAGTTGAGGAAATGTTTTGGGTTAAACCGACTGACACGAGCTTACTTGTTTCTCTGGCAAACAATCTTGATCTCGATCTTGATATTCGAGAAACTGGGGGTCTTATTAATGCTTTAAATCGTGCTTGTGAAATTAAAGAACAAAAAGGCGGAAATATAATAATTGCCGGAAGTTTGTATATGATGGCAGATCTTTATCGGCTATTAAAATTTGATGAGAATATGAATTCATTTATGAAATGATGATTGAATGATTATTAATCTATCAATCAATCAATCAATTAATAAATTGTCAATTTGATTGATGGATTGGATGACTACATGAGAAAACAAATATATAGTTTGTCTTTGAGAAACAAATGTTCGGATTAAATCTGCTTAACACTATAATCTTTCGATTAATATGAAGATACAAATGATTTTTGGACATTTTTGATATAAAAGATAAAATAAAAATGAAAAATATTTAATACGAAAGAATATAATAGAGATTTGAGTAAAGAAAAAAGTGGTGTAATATACTCCGATAGTGTCCAGTATAGAAAATTCGACCTTTAAATAGTCGATCGCTAATTCAAAGTGAATTTGACTTTATATAAATTTAAATTTCTAAAAGATGGCTCAAAGTACAACCATCACAAAGTTGCCAGCTTGTGAGCCAATAAAAATACAATGATAATAATAATAATAATAATGATGATGATGATGATAGCAGTAGCGAAATAAAAGTACTTGACTTAAATGTTATTCGAGTCCTTCCGTTTCAAGTTTCCTCTTTAATTCTTCGTGTTCTTGCTTAAGCAGCTCTTGTTCCCGGGATATAAGCCTCTTTTCACGAACAAGCAATTCGTTTTCTTCGCGGAGTCTTTTCAAATCCGCAGCAAGCAATTCGTTTTCTTCGCGGAATTTTTCAAAATCCGCAACATTCGGAGCAGTTAAATATTGCTGTCTTAACCGATCGATTTGAGATTCCTGAAATTGACACTTCTCTTCATATAACTGTATTTGCTCGTTCAAATTTTTGACGTTTCGCTCATTGTGATTTTTCAAAACTTCAATCTCCTCCATTAATTTCCGTATCCTTGCTTCTTCTTTTTCTTCTTGTCCATCTTGATAGGTATCTTCGGATTGAACTGTAGATGAAGACAATGATGAGGACTCCTTACCCTTCTCCAATTCCACCAACCTCCTCTTCAAATACCGATTCTCCTCCTCTAATTGTTCCATTTCCTCCAATTGCCTCTTCAAGTTTGTATTTTCCTTCTCCGTCGTTTCCAATCGACTTTTTAACAGTTCATTTTCATTTTCTACCGATGCCAATCGCTCCTTTGTTTCTGCAAGTAAATTTGCCTTGAATTTCGCACTTTGCTCAAAAGCGCGAGCCCGTCGTTCCTCCCTTATTAATCTCTCTTTTAACGTCTTAATTGAATCCGATACTGGTGAAGGTGAAAGCGGAATCAATTCATTAGCTGTGATTGAACCATTCTCGTAAATATGTGCTGACGAAGAATTCTGCATAAAAAGATTGTTGATTGACCCTTCTGGCGCGGTTGTCCAGAATTCTTCTTCTTCTCTTCGAGTATGTTGAAGTTGTTGTTCTTGACGACGAGAATATTCTGCCTGACTATATTCGGGTGGATGATGAGGCGGAAATTCTTGCTGATTCGAAAAATCTTGATGACGATATGAAGATCTGTGATAATAATCATATTGCGATTGCTGATGTTGTGGTGTTTGTTTTTTACCGTTATTATTTAGTGGACGATAACTATGAATTTGTTCGTGTTGTTGCGGTTGATGACGATAACCATGATTATCGTCTGGTGGAGGAGTCAATGGATCATTTGTCATCGATCCAGAAGTGCTAGCAGAGTCAGCGGAAACAGCAGGCGATTTCGTAAGATCCGTTTCCAGTTCGTCCTCCCACTTGTAAAAATTACAAGTTGTTCCGGTTCCTTCGATATAATGGTTAATTGCATTATAGCACCTGTAAAACCAACGACCTTTATTTCGACCTTCCTTCTTGACCTGATATTTAACTGCTGGTTTTTTACAGAGACATAAAACTTTATTGGTTGACGAGGGACTTGCCGCTGACGTTCTTTGAATTGGAGTTTTTGCGTTGGAGGATGACATTTGTGTTATATTCTTTATAATATTCCGTCAAAGTTCGTAGGCTATAACGTGAAATTAATAACTAGCTTGCTAATCTCCGCTAAATACAAATCAAAAAAGCGAACAATTCGAGTTTGTTTGTAATTCAAACTTGTAATTCAAAAACTAAAGTGCTAGACGAAGTTACTCGTATTTATTGGTGTTTAATGGAGTAGAAAGATAGTCAAGAAAAGAATTTTTTTTCAAATGCGCAGTATATAACGTCTATCATCGATAAAGATCGCGTGGGAATTTCTAAAATAAGGAACAATATGACATATTGCAAAACGATCATCTCTAGCATCCGCAGTTACTAATTTTTTCCCACCTATATGCTCCCGAAAAATACGTATTCTCTCGGAAATAACAACAACACCAGAACGTAGAATCGATTTTCCGAACACGTGATAATCCGATCATCAATTAGCCATAGGATCAACTTAGGATCAACTACCTTTTATGCTATAATGTAATCCCTAATCCAAACCCGAACCCTAATATGGAATTTCAAGTTTTCCGACATGATTTTTGCTCGTCACGTGTTCAGAAAATCGATCCTACGCCCTGCTAATTTCCTTGACAGGTTGGTGCTTATTTTCTAGACAGTTTCTTGATTATCTACATTATCTACCGGGAATAAGCAACATTCGAAATAAGCATCAAGTCAACATAGATAATCGTGATGTTTATTAAGCATTTGTACGTTTTAAATGTAATTTGCATTTTATAAAGTGATCTGGAATCGAATACTCATGTTTGTAGTAACTTTAAATGCTCTGGATGTTTCAAATATCACAAACGAATTTATAACAGAAAATCAGAGATACAGATATCGACAATTTAATAATAAAACAAAATTTGGAGACGTAAAGTTGTGTTGAAATCATTACACAAACGAAGATTTGCTCCCAAACCCACAATCACCCCTGCTTATGGTCTAAACTGCGAAGTGGTGCTTATTTTCCGGTATTTTCGCATGATTCCGATCACTACTAGGTGTCGAGATATCGTCCTTAAAAATCACCGTTCGCCAAAATTTTCACATAAATTGGCGAAGATCTAATATATCTCGATACCTAGTTATCGGAATTTCTAGGTAACAGTGCACGAATTCAAGTGTTGGTTGGGTTTGACATATTTTTTTTCATCATTTAAAAGCTTACGATTTCTGCTTTCTATGATATACGTAATTGGACTTTTGCATGTTGCACAATTAATGACCTTTTAACTACCTTCAAAAAATGTGTCTTGAATCTCTTCAGATTATCATAAAAGTTTAAAGTTTGACTTCCTTGCGGTCACTTGTCTAAAAAAGTATTATCAGGACTATTGATTATTAATTTGTAAGTATTAGTTGAATGATTTAGCCATGATAGCAACTTTAATTTGTTATAAGAATTCCTCTTTTACTTGGTTGAGTTGATTGGATTTATCCTTAGTTAGAATCTCTCTTTGCTCAGTTGAGTAGTTTGATGGCTTAAGTCACGATAACAATTTTTAATTTATTAATAGTAAGAATTTCTCTTTTAATTATAATATGTGTTCATATATTTATTTGCAAGAATATTTACATCTTAGATAATTTTCTGACTTTACCAGATTCTTGTCTAATCCTACTTTAGATACAAAGAATATTGATCAGTAAAATAGTTTTTTTTATCTATATTATGAATAATAAATACAATTCTTCATCTACAGTCAAATCTGGATATAATGAAACCTTTGGGCTGGGTAATTAGCTTCGGTTTATCAAGTAATTCATTATATCAAAAAATTTTATATAATGAAATTATATATAAAATTATACAAAATTCATTATATAAAAATCATTATAAATTTATTTACTAAACAATTTGTAATTGAAACTAAGTATCAATAACAAATTTATCTAAAGTAGTTTGGGTTTTTGTTTCTACTATATGATTCATAATTCATTTTTTAAGTTGATTAATTACTTTAAAATTCTCTTTACATACTTGAAAATTATCAGGAGAATTATCAAGAAAGGATAAAATATTATTCAAACTTACGAGTACTTCATTGTTAGATACTACAATTGAAGGTTTCAAAGAATCTTCTTCTTCTTCTTGTAATGCAGCTAAAATTTCTTCATTAGTTGGAATTAAAAAGATTGGTATTGTTTTATCGATTTCAATATATTCTTGAGTTATCATTGGATTATCAAAAGGTAGCTATTTAATTAATAATTCTAAATCTTCTTCTTCACTATCATCAGTTTGTTCAGTGCTTATAAAATCAGGCAAGATATTCATTTTATTCCAACAATGAGAAATAGTATTGGATATCATATTATTCCAAGTTGTAGTACAATATTCAATTGCTTCTCGAATATTAACTGGAATAGGATTTTTGCCTGTTTGTTATGCTTCTTCATAAGCATTTAATTGATTTTTGATCAATAAACGTCTATATTGAGTCTTAAAAAGATTAAATGTTAATTGATATGAATATAAATATATATTAATTAAAAGTAACATTTACCTTAAAACTGTTGATTATTCCAGCATCCATTGGTTGAAGATGAGCGATTGTATTGGGTGGAAGAGGGTGAATTTTGATATTTGAAAGATGTGTAGATTCTTCAAGAATATGACAAGATGCATTGTCAATTAATAAAAGAATATTACAACCTTGACGACGCATTTTTGAATCCAAATTTTTTAAATAAGAGTTCCAAATTGAAGTTTGTATCCATGCTGTCTTGTTCCAATAATATTCAACTGATAAGTCTTTTTTGTCGATATTGCAAATAGGACGTGGATTTTTGTATTTATGAATTAACAAAGAGGTAATTTTTTCATATCCAGTTGCATTGGTAGTTAATAATACTGTTACTCGTTCTTTTGCTTTTTTAGTTCCAGCAATTAGACCAGTTGCCAATGTATGAGAGGGTTCTAATCGGTAGTATAAGCTTATTTCATCACAATTAAAAATGTCATCAATTGAATATTCATTGATAACATCTTTAAGTTATTGTCGATAAATTAGTAAATCTTCGATTGGTGTACTTTATACTTTTCCATGTCATTTGTATTCTTGAATACCATGACATTGCTTGAAATCTTGTAACTAACCATTTGATGTGATGAATTTAGATTCATTTAACATATTGGCAAATGTTTTAGCTTATTCCTGAATGAGATATCCAGTTAAAGTTTGTTTATTTCCAATTATGTATTCTGCTCAAAGAGCAACAGCCACTTCAATTTCTGGAAAACCTGGTTTTCTATCTCATTTTGCTATAGCTTCTTTTGAACTTGGATCAATTGCAAGCCAAAAATCTGACTTGGAAAGTATTTCACTACAAGTAGATTCACTTATTCCATAGAGTAATGCGAGAACTCTATTAGAAATGCTTAGTTTATTTTTTTTGCGCTCGTATAGTTCACGTCGTTGTCCATTGGTTAATATGATCCTCTTTTTTTTTGTTTTCAGGGCTCTGAAAATTGGTTTGTCTTTTTTAGGTATCTTTTATTTACTACTCTTATTTAATTCAATTACATGCGCAGAACTATTTGAGCTTTCTGCGAAACTTTTTGTAGATTCCATTTTGAGTGTGAAAGAAAAAAGAAAATTCACTTCTCTTTTAAATTAAAACTTAATATTACAAATACAAGAGTGATGACAATGAATATCTATGAAACTTGTATCATTAGTATTAACAATAATATAACTATACAAGAGCTATCAATTTCTATCTATGATTATTTCATTGACAGAAAGATGCACATGAATGATAAGGATGGTGGGAAAATATAATAGCTCACTTAAGAAATGGAATACGAAAAAAAAATTGGTAAGATATGAATATCTCACCATTGAAGAATTACGTGAAAATAAAAGTAAGTAAATTATATTCATTAATATTATGATTATTGATACTAATAATTTTTTTTGTAGAAGTTACTTAAACAAAAATTAACCAACTTTTTTGAAATTTTTTAGCATTCTGCGTAAATTGTCTGATTTCGAAGATGAAATTCAAAGGAAGGATTCTTTTTATTGAACTATTATCAAGCTAAAAAAAATACTAACTAATGAACTACAATATTATATTACCATTTTGTATAACCACCCTTTGCCTTTATAATATCATTCACTCTTTTTGGCATTGAAGAAATCAACCGTTCACAGAAGTCTGCTTCAATGCCATTCCACATGATCTGAAGCTTTGTCCACAAATCATCTTTACTTAAAAGTGGACCAGAAAGTTATTACAATCGCCAGTCAATCTCATTTCAAAGATTTTTGATGGAGTTCAGGTCAGGAGATTGAGCTGGCCAATCAAGCAAATTTATTTCATTATCAAGAAACCAAACTTGCGCTTTTTTTGATATATGTTTAGGATTATTATCTTGCTGGTAAAAGATTTCTTCTTTACTTAGCCCTTTTGCCAACAGTGAACCTAATAGATTCTCATTTAAAATATTAACGTAAATATCAGTATTCATTTTTATATCAATTTTTTTGAGTTGTCTCATCCCTTCAGCATTCATACATCCCCAAACCATTATAGTATCACCACCAAACTTCATTGTAGGGATGATTTGGCGTTGATTTAGTTGCTCATTGACCTTTACCTAGCAGTACTTATGGCTATCCGATCCAAAAAGCTGGAACTTGCTTTCATCGGACCAGAGGATCAATCTCTAATCATCAACTGTAAAATCTCGATATTTCTTTGTCCAAGCAAGTCACTATTTTTGGTGTGTCTTTTTGAGTATTGGCTTTTTGCATTTAGTTTTTGAGGATAGACTATTTCTCTGGAATATTCACCATACACTCTCTACGGAAATATCAATTTCAAGATCAGATTTAAGTTTGATTTTGACCTCTATAGTGATAGAATACTGTTCAGTCATTAACAACCGGATAGTATATCTTTCATAATGGTTGGTTAAAAAATGTGGATGACCAGTTTTTTCTAGATCATTAAAGGTTCTGGTTTCTTTCTTTTTTTTGCAAATTCGTAAGACTGATGCAAGGCCCACCTGCTCTAAAGTAGCGATTTCCCATACTAAATAATCTTCTTCTCATAATGTGAATATTTGTGAACATTTTTCTTGAGAGATTCGAGATATTTTTCAAATAAAATATGGTTAGAATTGCTATTTAGAATAGTTAAAAGTATTTTACAAAAATTAAAATAATAAAAAGAGCTTTTATACTTATC